AGGGAGAGAGGGAGAGAGGGAGAGAGAGAGAGAGGGAGAGAGAGAGAGAGAGAGAGAGAGAGAGAGAGAGAGAGAGAGAGGGAGGGAGGGAGGGAGGGAGGGAGGGAGGGGAGAGGGAGAGAGAGAGAGAGAGAGAGAGAGAGAGAGAGAGAGAGAGAGAGAGAGAGAGAGAGAGAGAGAGAGAGAGAGAGAGAGAGAGAGAGAGAGAGAGTGAGAAAGAGTGGGGGGAGAGAGAGAGAGAGAGAAAGAAAGACAAAGGGAAAAAGAAAGAGAAAGAGAGAGAGAGAGAAAGAGTGAGAGAAAGAGAGGGAGAGGGAGTGAGAGTGTGTGTGTGTAACAACAAAAGTTCAATAAAAGAGGCCTCCAAGCATGCCCTTACAATACAATTTACAGTGGAAATTCAAACTGAATTTGCTGTTACAAAGCCACAATCAATACCAAAGCTGGTTATCTTTCCAAGGAAAAAAAAAAAAAAATCAGTATAATCAAGAGTCTAATTAAGAATGTCATTGTCCTTCATACAAAAGTACCAGCATCAATATCCTCTGGAAAATGGTAATCCACTCAATAGGAATGTTCTTTCACCAGCATGGAGGGGCCAGACTATTTTCAAATCTTTTTCATTTTTCTTTTTCTTTCTTGAAGTCCACTAAACCAAACAGGATAGCATATTTGAAGAGAGTTGGCCAAATCTTGTATATTGCTTATCCAAGTCTACTGTGTAGCATTCTACCAAACATTTAACCGAAAAAGGTCCAAATGCACTCTCATGATACCTACTTGCAGACCAGCACTTTTCAAGCTTTGGTCTAAATTAAGAAAACTACACTGAGGTACTGATAACTAAATAACAATGATCCCTCTAAACAATTACTTGATGAATGGCTTTTATACACAATTTCTAGATATCCTGAAAACTCTGTACAAAATCATGTTAACAACACAGATGTCATCAGTGTAAACAACATATCAACCTCATAAAACTATAACGCATAAAAATCTTTTCTTCCTAAGCATATACAGCTAACACAATGATGAGAATTCAAAAAATATCTAGCCACAACACACACACCCATAAGAATAAGAATTGTAATATGCATAATTTCTTAAAACAAAACAAAAAAGCATTGATAGAATAACCCTAGCCATGGAGCACACAGGATACAAATATATCTGCTAAATATTTAGATAAACGTGTTTTAACAAATGTTAAATATTCCTGTTCACAGCAATTACTAACAAATAAACATTACTTTGATCTATGCTCCTGCAATATCTGCCAAAGTTCTTAAGAATAAGCAACGCCTCAAGAAAGGTTTATATAAATCAAAAGATTTCTGAACAGACTACAACATAAGTGCCTTACATCTCTGGGAATGAAGAACAGGTAGTTAATCATATGTAAAACATCCTACATTATTTCTAACTTTCCTGGATGGAATAACCAATCCTTTCTATCCACCATTATAAGAAATATACTCCGTCCCCTATAAACTGCACCGAGACGAAAACCAAAATACTATATTTACCCTTTATTATGGTGACTATGTTTCATTTGGCATACTTTTTTTCAAATATACGCAATTTGCACCAATCCTTATGATAACAGTAATGCTGGTTTCATTCTGTCCAATAATTCATTCATCTATCAGCTACAAGACTGCATATATACACCTCATTTCCATATATATAACTAAGCACCTTCAACCAAAATAACCTAAGAACCACAGTAGCTTCCTGATAGAATAATAAGAGGAGTCAGAAGTTTAGAGTTTCTTTCCATTTCCAAATATAGCTATTATGCAGTATACAAAACCTACCTCTAAATATTTTGTATACACAAGACTTGCACAAAGGAAGAATTAAAAGCATCTTACTTAGCCTTGTGCTCTAACAATTTTTATAGCTATTTCTGATGTTCAGTGCTAATGTTCAAACAAGGTACATATATATCCTTAACTTATCAGACCCAACTCTAATGCAGTACAGTGCAAAAGTGTCTATGAGCTGCCAGATACAAATCATGTTATGCTATAAAACTGCAAAGCTTCTGTATTTCAAACCTACTCATTTTAAAATTTTACTTACAGTCCACAAAAATTCCTTGACAGAGATGTTCTACAATGGGACAACAAAGAAAGAAAAAAAAAAAAGAATGCTCATCCAATCTTTGTGGTAAAATTGGTAAAGATTACAGCTAAAATTCAATATAACAAATTTTAAAACACAGTCTGGCTTTGGAGATTTTTTTCTAAAATATTAACCCATTCACGACGTATGACATATCACATGCCCTAACCACATCCTCACATTATGGTGAAAAATCCCAGACACCAGGTGACACCTTATCATGCCATCAATTATGGTTACAATCACCATCAGCATAACATGTGGGGACATCATAATTAGGGCACCTAATTTTGCATATTTTCTAAGATTTCTAGGGTTACAGGAACTTATTTATGGAAATGTAAGATTAAGGCTAGACATGACACTTCAG